TATACTAGAGACAGATATAGATGAATAAATCAATACTACAAAACAAGAAATGGCGGACACATAAACAGTACAGAAATAAAGCGTACAAGCGTTTTGATGGTACTAGGAAATGAAAAGTTGGATTCGTAAAACTAATTGATTACCGATGGCTCGAATACAAGATGCTGTCACAGAATCTAGAAAAAAAACGTTGGCTGGCAGGGTCAGCATCAGGAGAATAACGTACGTTGACTCATCCAAGAACAACAGACCCACAAGAAGATCGCTGATGCCCGTTGAATCACCAGTGGGTCTGTATACTACATGAGTTGCCTTCGGGGGGTTGTGAGTATGCCCAAAAAGTTTTGACGTTTGAGATCCGATCTTATTTTATATTTGAAAATTTCATTTGGAAAGAATTGTGTTTCCACTTAATGAAGGAATGTCCATGGTGCAGATGCACCCAGCTCTGTGTGACTAGAGTTAAACTCCTACCATACGAAGAAAGTGAGTGTTATGGAAAGAATTCTTCCATTCCAACAGTTTTCTACATCCGATGTTAATGGTTGAGATATTTTTCTAAATTTCCAGAAACGATATCCCTCTCAGATTTGCTGTGTAAACGAATTTCAGCAGCGAAGGGAAGCACTGTTTCAACATTGCCGTTCTGCATGCACTCTGCAATGATTTTACGAACTATGATATTCATATCTTAACAACAAAGAGCCGGAGCATCCATGAATTGGAGAGGAAAAGTCCATCTTTATGAACACCCATCAATCCCAGACTTCCTTTCTAATCTCCTCTCTTTAATTAGCCTGAATATTCTAAAATCTTATTCGCACTGCATTTCGTCCAACCGATGGCAAGTTCCCAATATGTCCACCATCGTATCACCCCAGAAGAACGGGCGCTGCTGCAAGCTCATCCGACAAGCTTGATCTCCAGTGGTGTATATTAAATCTTTCTTTTGGGATCTACAAACAGCTTGAAGAGCAAAGTTTACATGACAGTGAAGTCTTTAATAGAGCATGGATTTGCGTTGCCATCAATCAAGGGAAATGCTGGAGAGGAACACGCCCCGGGATTGTCTCCTTTGTTCCACCGTATAAATATATATTGCTGAAATAAATGTTTACGATAGATAACGCTTGGGCTAGTTGAGAGCCCGCATCATCCTTTGCTAAAACCAGATTTCTGACAAAGGATATTATTAAAATGACGAATCACATCTCATACGTAACAGTTACAATGTAATAATTGTAACATTGGCGATAATAATCTAAAGTTCCTTCCAGGTGAAATAATTTAATGGAATTCTTTATCCCCCTTCAATTGAAGAAACCGACAAATCATTTCTGGAGTCATCGACTACGATTTCAGAACAACTACGATATCAGAAGAGACCATCTCCGTGGACTGCACGCGCTCTCAAGTCAGGAAGGATGGTTGCTTGCATGCTTGATATGTTGAACCATCGCTGGCGAGCACACCTGCTCGCTCCCCACTGCAACAGGTAAAAGCATTAAGCTCACACAAATGATTACTTTTTTAATTGACATTTCTTCAAATAGTCTATACCTTGAATGTAACGAAGTTAATCAGGCTTAACTTTTTATATATTTGTCAATGTTGAATAAGTATTATCAGCTTCAAATAGTTTATATTTTACCGATGAGAATTGAACGCCAAAAGTAGTTTAAATTATGTTAATTTATCATTAGCTTGGAAGGCAAGTCATCAAAAATTACAGCTCATACAGACATCAGAAACTCAGAGAGAAACTCAGTGATTGTCTATTAAAGTGATCAAAAATTAAAGTGAAGGTACCCCCTAAGTCAAAGTCAGATATCTTGTGGTTCATCTCGCTGTTCAGAAGGAAACTTATGGCCTTAAGATGTCCGTATGGTAAGACTTGGTCAACCCATTTTAAGGAGAGGTCAGTCCTAACCTCATCTCCCTTTTTAAGCCTTATCTTAGAGACTGTTTTGGGCAAGAAAACAGTCATGCCTTGTTTTAAAAGGGGGTATTAAGAGGGGGTACGGAGAGAGAAATTAAAAGAAAAAATCAACGGCACAGGAAACCCTTTTCTCTCCAGCTGCTTCTCCCCTCTCATCTGGTTGCTGTGATGAGAGATTCATGAACTCTAATTATCTATGTATTTTATTCCTCATTAAAATTAGATATTCTCTGTTCGGTGGTCTTGAGGTATATTCACCCTCTTTAGACCACATTAAATTCGTGGTGACCTTATTACAACAAATTTACTCTTCTCCATATCATTTATTTCTTGTGGTCATTTTCTAATCATGCTCCCTTCTTTCCGCAATGTTATTAGGCACCATTAAAGGCTCATTAAGCCCTAAATCTGATCTCATTCCCTAATAATGTATGAAGATGACCGTCATCCTTGGAGTAATTGTACAGTTAGAAAAACTCGAGTTATTCCTTCAGTTATCTGCATACATCTACCGACTCTATCTATGAAGCCCTTTCTCCCACGTATGTATACATAGGAGATCCATAGGGGAATGAACGAACTGCGATGGGATACTTAAACAACGGCGGCGAGGTTGAATGACCGAAGAAGAAGAAATTCATACTCTTGTTGAGCGCGTACTCGTAGACGAGTAGCTTCTCTCCTCCTTGAATGCTGCAACGTAAGAGTCTTACAAGATTCGTGTTAAAGCTTGGTAATTAGATAAATAACAGTCTTGAAATCTTTCAGCCTTGCCCTAATTGTTCAGATGATGGCCTCTTAATGTCCTTTTCCCGTACGTCGGTCAATTTCCCCTTAAAATGGTAAATCAATACAAAAGATAATAAGTGCCACCTGGCATGAATTTAGAAGTCGTCACTGAGAAACGAAGACTATATAGGAGGTTTTGATGATTGCTTCGTCATCATGCAAATATAGGCTATACGTTATGGATCATCTTGGAATTGTCGTTGTCATCTTCTGGACCACGTCGAAACCCTCACTCTCCGAGCTTGTTCTCGTTGGAGAAGATGTTTCTCGCTTCAAATGTACTCCAAAAGCTGCGATGGTAAATCTTGGGAGCCGTCTCATCTTCGCCTTCGCCAACGTCAACAAATCTGTACGTGACGACTCCTCCGTCCATGCATATTCACAAAACAAAGGCTCGTCCCCACTCTCTTGCGGAGTTCCTGTCAATAAACAACGATCATGATTAGCCGGTCATTGATTCTCAGCCAGCATCAAGATGTCACCGTTACGTATTCCCATACAGAAGCAACAGCAAAACGGTGGTTACTGCATCCTAAAGTAGGAAGGCGATTGAAGGGATATAACCAAGCTGAGAAATTCACCATCTTGGAAGTTGATTGAAGAATTTTTACGGCCAGCTCACCAGGAAAGATGACCGCACGTGAATCGGAAAAGATATCGGTCCATGGTGTATCGCTTATGCTTTGGACTGGGGTTTTCCTCGCTATCACATTTGGTTGGATGGCGTGATAGGGTTCCTGTAAACTATGTTTCGAAGAATATAAGGCGGGTGCGAAAGGGGCAAACTAATCCCCATCTTCGTCGAGCATTCACTGCACCCTCGTCGCCGCAAGGAGTCATCATGCAGCAAGACGCCGAGATTCTGTAGAAGAATCGTGGAGAAAAATTGCACAGAATGGAATTGAAATCAAGAATATCTCTGCAACACGCCTACAGATTAACGAGTTCCTGTTTATACTCACCCAATTGTAACTTTACCAAACAGAAGGCCCCGGTTCGTCTTATCACCGTCGCCACGCTTGCTTTCATCTCAGTCGTTATAATGTGCGAGATGGACGGCCAAGTTTAAAACGCACCTTGATGTGCTTTGGCCGGCTGTGAAATGCTGGATTATTGACCAATTCTATAGCCGATTTGTTGTCAACGTAAATTTTAACTGGCTTGAGTTCATCTCCGGTCAGCTCACTGATCAGATCACTCAGTCAGAGTCCCTGGCATACAGCCTGTATGAGGGTCACATACTCTGCCTCACACGATGATAATGCAACTATACGTTGCTTCTGTGATGACCATGTCACGACATTGCCACCCGAAAAGAAGAGAACACCAGATGTGCTCTTTCCGTCCATAAGGTCTCCGGCATAATCGTTGTCACTATATCCTTCAAGACAAAAGAATTTCCCTTTCTTATAAGTCAAATCGATGTGATATGTGAGATTTCCTTCCTGTCCACGCTTCATAGGGAGTCATCCCCTCCGGGCACCTAGTGGGAGCCCGATTGAGCAGATATGCTACTGTGTTCACTGCCTCTCCCTAAAATTCTCGAGGCATTGACTTGTGCTTCAAAATGGCTCTCACCATCTCCACAATCGTACGATTTCTCATTTCAATCACTCCGTTTTGCTGAGGAGAATAGGGGGCGGTCGGCTGCCTCCTGATGCCATTTCCTTCACAGAAAGCTCAAAATTCAATAGAATTGAATTCCCCCCCCCCCCCCTTGATCAGTCCTCAGACAGGCAATTTTTAACGATTTTTCAGCCTCAGCTATTAGCTTAAATTCTTTGAATGCTTCAACTGCATCCGACTTCAGCTTCAACATCTTCACCCACATTAATCTGGAGAAATGATCAACAAGCAATAGAAAGTACTTACTTCTGTCGAGAGTTGTTGGTTCTATTGGCCCACATAGATCCCCATGGATCAATTCTAGAGCACTCAAGGCTCTGAATGAGGAGAATTTGAGAAAAGACACTCTGGTCTATTTTGAGATAACACAATCTCCACATAGATCACCAATTTTGTCCATCGTGGGCAAGCCTTGAACCATACCCTGAGAAGATAACAGACGTAAAGAGGCAAAATTCAGATGTCCATACCTGTGATATCATTTTCACGTTGTTTCTTCATTGGCTTTTAGACACCTCTCCACAATATTTAACTTGAGTAGATAAAGCCTGCTGGAGCTTCTTTGTACTCTAGTTAGTAATTTCCCTTGTGGATCATAGATTGTCAACAGTCCATTGTGCCGAAGAAATCCAAGATTACCTCATCGTCATCCATGGAAAGATTTTCCAGATCTCTCTGCAGAGCTTGAACTCTACCATTGAGCAAACGTGACACTCCTCCGCCTTTGACCTTGAGTAATTGCCACGTTTCTCGTGCAAACTTTTCGACTTCCAATTCCCGCGTGATTTTATCCGAAATCGTGCTGAAGATAATCGACATCACCTGACGATCTTTCTTCCTCGGTGCATTCTCTATCTCCGCTACATCCCAGAGCTCAAGTCCTTCAAGATGCAGCCGCATCCGCGTCGCCCACACCTGGTAGTTCGACCTTGTGAGAATCAGAAACGTTCCAATGTGCATCTGCTGACTTGAGCCTCTCAGTCCTGCCATAACGACAAGATCATGTGAAGACGTCTCCCCTCGCTTTGGTGGCATCTTTCGTCAAGGAAACAAGCCCTAGATCAGCACCTGCTCTGATACCAAATGTAGAAGAATTGTGAAGAAAAATTGCACATAATGGAATTGAAATCAAGAAAATATCTGCAACACGCCTGCAGATTAGCGAGTTCCTTTGTATACTCGCCCAATTATAACTTTACCAAACAAAAGGCCCCGATTTGTCTTATCACCATCGCCACGCTGGCTTTTATCTCAGCCGTTCTAACGTACAAGATGGACGGCCAAGTTTAAAACGCGAACAGAGTCAGAGTTTGTCAGGGTGGAGAAAGAGTGAAAGCTTGGGAAATCGCAGGAAGATTGATCCAACAGATTCCTCTTGTCTCTGGGCTTCTCTGCTCAAAACCTTATAGGCACTCTCAGCGTTATCTGCCGTTTCTACAGAGGGGTGTTGGTTTAATCAGGCTTCTCTCACAATCTTCTTATTCGACGGCGCGCCAACATCACGGACCAATAACCCAGGAGATTATCAACATGGATTGGGTTACTTGCCTGTCGGCACCTATCGTGAACCTGGTAACAGTTTGGTACTGGTGTAGATGAAATAGGCCTCCTCTTCATTGGGTTCAGTGAAAAGACTGAGATTGAGATAAAAAACATAAAGAGAAAAACAGCAGATTCGCTCCGCTGCTCCAAATTTCTCTCCTTTTGCTAGACGAAAAGCCAACCACCATCAGCATAGAGGCTGAAGGTCCCTGGGCTTGGATCTCCTGAGCTCGGAAGGAGATAAACACTCGGTTGAGCTTGCCATTTCCACCATGCTTTATCCCCGGGATCGATTCAACTCTCGGGGTGGTCGAAGCTCCGCCACACGACTTGACCGGACTCCCCCACTCTCAGTCGATACTGTCGGAATCCGGCCATTTCTTCCACGGGACAAAAACGAAGGTGCCACTACCATCGAGAATCACCAGACTTCCATCGATGTCTCCGGCGAGAACGCCAGCACTATTCGTATCGTGAGGGGCTCGCCATGGTTGACCGCCCACACCACGGTCTGTCCATGATCGTCTAGTATGTACCATACGCCGACGTAGCATTTGCCGTAGTCCAAGGGGATGAACAAAACCCCTTCGAAGAGGTCGACTGCAGACACCAGGGTCTCCCCGTCTCCGATGGAATCACCCAGCAGGCACAAGAACGCCATTGCACCGTGGGGAGGATGGCACCTGCTTGAACCACCCTCTTCCCACTCCAATAATCAATTAACACCATCCTTTATTGTGTGCACATTCGTCCAAGACATACGGTCTCCTTTTGAGAGGAATGTAAAATAAGCAGGGGTTATTGTTTTCTTAATTGAGAGTAAAGTAGTGTGATGTTTGTGGCAACGATATTTATGAATAGTATTAGATTTTCTTAAGGTTGAGTCTTCTTCCACGGCTTCGTTCTATTTTATTATATCTCATTATCAATGCTGAGATGATCCGTATTTTTCAGAACATATGCTTTTCATGGGCAGTTATAAATATCCAGACGAAAATGAGGCTTGTTTCTTCTGCTTGATATCTGAGCATTTCACTTAGATTTGGCGTTCTAAGATGATTTGCCCATTTAACGTTTCTTTGTGATTGATTGAATCAAGTAGGCCTCCAGTTTATATTTCTTCAGGATGTCAAACAGATGAATTTTTTTTACCAGAATCAGTTCTTTACTTTCAAAGAAGAAGGAGATTCACAATTCTGATGTCCAATCTGGTAGCTAATACGTACCAGAGTGTATTTGTTGTGGGTCTTACTCTGGCCACTTTTTGTTAGTAAACATCAAATATCTCTGAATTTCCAAATCTTCTGATCCCTAACGTTTTTCTCGGACCTAGCCTACGACAATCTGTTGGATATCACATGATTTAGGACTCATGCCATGATGATGTTAGGATTTGTATGGCTTTAAACAGAATTTAACCCTGTCATTAAGAGCAGAGGTTATCATCCTTCCAAAGGCAGTTTTTTGGCCAATTCCTTCCACCATATCTCTGGTTTACTGGATATCCTTCCGTACCTTTTAACTGATACTAATATTACCAGTCTAAAGGTCTCAAATGTTACTTTTCCTAGCGTAGTTTTATTTTACTTCTCTCAGCCAGATCGCCCTCCTTATTTCTCGAATTCCCGAATCATTTTCATTAAAAAGGACAAGTTTAGATCTCTAGTGTTGTCGTCATGTCTTCCATTCTGTGTTTACATACTCTTATCTAATTAATATATCGCTATAGGTCAAAAAGGGATATACTAGATAACTTGCTGGTCGTATTCCACTGTTTTAGCCATCCTGAAAATGAAAAGATTATTCTCCACTTTCAAACTGTTGCACAAGTTTACCTGTCTAGATACGTTGTGAAGAAAGATAAGAGAACGAAAATCCTTCTCCATCAAAACACTTCTTCGAGTTCAAGCCCCTCATCTCACAGTTTACGCAGTCTATCTTAAGACCAATAGATTCTTCCTCAATCTTTGACATCATTCAGTCTCAGAGATCCTTCTCTGCAGATAACACCAAAAGAGTGCTACCAGCATGTCGTTTGTGTTGTGTCCCATGCAGTTATGATTCAAATCCCTTAATCCAACTCAGGTTCTGTACTCTCATGTTATTCTACCTGAAATTCACCATGAAAAAGAATTTATTTTTTTACCCATTTTCAAGACGAAAGTTTAATATCTACTACCACATCTCTAGCATTCAGGAGACGCTTCAGGATATTAGAGATGCTTTGATGTCAGTACGCACCTAATGCCAGACTCTGGATCCTCTATTACACTCGTTTTTCATTAATTACTACTGTCCACCTCCATCCATCTTCCATTTTTGCGGAGTCAATCTTGGAGAAAAAGGCGGTTTTAATTTTCTGGGTTGGACTGTCTGTGCTTCATTTTGTCTTTATGTCTATATATCCTTTTCTAGTTAATATCATGCCGTCCTCGATGAATGACTAGGGTCATGGTAAAGGAAATATGAGCTTCATGCCTTAAGATCCTTTGCTGCTGACTAGGAGTTTATGAAAGCGGAGGGGCAATAAATCGAAAGATTAGAAAGCATTTAATCCATCACATTCTCTACATTGCACCGAAGGGAGCAGTTCCACCTTTCGGCATCCTATGCTTTCTCAAAATCCAGCTCGATTTCATGGCGAATAATAGTATAATATTTCATGGATAAAGGGACAACCAGTCGCCTACTTTGTCAAGCAACATAATGTAGAAACATCCAGCCCACAGTAATTGGACAGTGGTGGTCTAAAGAGTGACCACGCCAACGCCCATTTTTATTCTCTCGAAGTTTATTAGCCTGGGGTATCAGTTGTCGGAGAAGCCTCATCTCCAGCCAGACTTTAAGGAATTCTGCACAAGAGACAAAAGCGAAAGCCACGAGAATTGGGGTCATGGGTCAGTTACCATGGACTCAAGTGTCGGCGTCTCTTAGCGTTGTTTTAGGGGTGGGGGGGAAATCACTTACATGCTGCAGTCGGTGGGGGGTGGTATAGGGAAGCTAATGCTGATGCCGCAGTTCTTAAGGAGATCTGGTATCTTTGCGAGGATGAGCCCGGGAACAGTCGGGAGTAATTCGTTCAGGCACACGCAGATTTGTTGGCGGTCTGCAGTCGTCCCTACCAGCTGAATCAGATTGTTTATCCCCTGGCAGCACCCGGGCGCCGGGACGGGATCAATGCCTTGGACATAGCCAACGCAGGGAGTGAGCTGCGTTTTCACCGTTTCGCAGTCCACAGCTGCGTTTGCGCAGGGCACCACCGCTAGGAGGCACGCGACCATGGCAGCGAGGAGAATGCGAATCCCCCCCTTGGAGGCCATGGCTAAACCTCGATCTCCCTCTACGCTAGTACCCTCTATATTCCTCCTGGCGGAGGGATATATAGGAGTGGAGGTTGAACCATAAAGATAGGTCTTTGGGGTTGAACGAGTTGTAACATCTGCACTTAAAGAAAATTTATTAGGACGAAATGTATGCTCGTTGGCCGGTTTGGGTGCTGTGCCGCCAAATCAATTAGACCATGCGGATTCAACACCTTGCACTCCTGGGCGTGCCCATGAATGATACATTCAATGCGAGATAGTTCCATCTATTAAAATCCAACCATTTGCACAATCGATGAAGCCCCACTGCCGGCCACAACTCTTTGGTCCCGTTTTTGGTCAACATCACTGCCCAAAGCGTAGCAATTGGCGTCCCCATTGCCTGTCAGAAGACCCCACAGAATTAATCCATGATTCTTGATGGCAGTCTCTGGGAATGCTCCATTCGCCGCGTCGTACATAGGGTGGAACACCTTGTGAACAAATTGTTGAGGCACGAATAAAACCGAGATAAGCTAGAAAACATATCGCTACAACTCTGACCGGGACGAATGCATCTTTGTTCACATTATATCCCATCCACGCTTGTTCGTCCGCTGTGTGCCTTGTCCATCCTCAAGGCAAATCCCAGTAACTCTGACGGACGAAGCTCTTCGGGAAATGGAGTGGGTAGAATCTCATCACCCTGTGACATTATGTCCTCAGCCATCATTTCTTCGTGTCTTCTTCAATAATACTTAATATAACAGAAACACATCCAAGGAGCAAATTGCTCCGAATGGAGTGGAGGGATCTATCAAAACCGATGATGAGGAACCCACAATGCGATGTGAAACATAACACATTAATAGGCCATGGGTTGATTATATGAAAACTTTAGTGAGACAATGGGCTTATTCTATTACAGATTTTTAGGAACCTTCATGCTATAAGGCCTTATAGTCACTTACTGCCCTACACGTCTCCTTTAATTCTTTGGCCGCACTAAGATGCTCTCTTTGCAACTGATCACATTGGTCCAAAGTCTGCCCCCAATTTCTCTGTTCTAATATTTAGGAAAAGTGGAAACAAAAAAGTCACTACTTGTTCCTGTAT